CCAGCGTGTTGTCCTGCACATGCGGGCACCGCGCCTTAGCGAACCGCCAACACTTGGGTTCATTTTAGGCCAGCATGTTGTCCTGCACATGTAACAATGATAAATCCCGCATATCTAACAATGACACATCTTGGAATGCCACAACGTCAAATCTAGCAAATCTAGCAAATAAATGCGATGTTCTACTCTTATCAGTATGATCTCGGACTGCGATCGAGGGGGAGGGGGCACTAACCGGGATGGGGACCATTACGTCATCGCGTCAGCAGCAGTGGTCTGACCAATGATAAGCACGGAAGAAACCGCAATATCTTCCACGCCTGGTTGTTCACTGTTGGCGCACAGACAGCAATCACCGACCAGCAGCTGAGTCAGCGCAGGTAAGCGGCTTGCTGCCGGCCTCAGAAGCTTACCCATATCGTCCGACCGGGGCGATAACTGGCTGAGTCCGACCACACCGCCCAGCGCGGCGCCGGGGGAGCCCACAGAGGCGGACAGGCAGCTGCTGAGCTCTCTGGGGACGCGGTGCCTCTCCACGTCAGATGACCTGTTTCTGTTTGGAGTCGATGTGCTGGCTGTGCCGACGCCTGGTACAAGGGCTGCTGGGACAGCGTAGCTGCTGGTCTCTTCAGAGTGGTGTCTATGGTCGTCATTTATCTAGCAATCGTCATGGTGGTGTAAGTGACATTATCGTCTCGTCTCAAACAGATTACAGCTTCCGAAATCAGCCAGATGAAACTTACAAACATTACCACCGCCGCAACTTCAGTGAAGTATGACGCTTTACAGCAGCTGCGCACCATAGAACCACACGCGTTGCCAGTTGGTTGCCACAAGGCCTTAGCGACCACACATTATACACCACCACACAGTGTGCCGATGCATCACGCACATCAGTACACACATCATACACAATACACCGCGCACGCTGAAATGACCACCAGGTAGTCATCAGCAGGGCCACACCGCTGACAGCAGCAGCTCAGCACGGGACCGCGCCGCGACCGCCGGCGGCCCGCACCGGACGCCGCTGACCTGCTGATGCTGAGATAACCAACGCGCAGCGCGTCCCAGCCCGACGTTAATTTGTCGGCCGATTTACGACGAGTTCTGGGCGGCAATAAACGGGTCCACTCAAGTCAAACCCATTGAATCGCGGCCGATCGCGGTGCCCTCGAACAGGGTGGTGAGATGGACATCGACGTTGGCCGAACAGTGATGGATGCAGCGGGAGATCAGGACATAAAAGGGGTGGGAGGGAGGGTGCGGGACATCACCTCCAAACCATGCACAGACTGCACGCGGTAACGCTCGAAGATGGGCCGATATGTGCGCGGATAAGGAGGCTAATTATGCGTAGCAAAGGCACGCCCTGAGAAAGGCGTGCACATCGCCAGATTTATTAGCGCGCCGCGGCCATCATATCCCCTTTATGGAGCCCGGTCGGACCACCGGCGCAAAAACTCACATAATTACCGCAGGCGTCAGATGGCTGTTTGATAGGCGCAAACCGGTGTGGGGAGCACAGACGCCGCGATCAGGATTTAGTCGTCCCGGTAAGACAAGCCCGCCGCCCGCTGCGCGCTCCGAGAGGCGCTAGCTGCGCCGCTAAGCCGTCCCCCGCCGCCTGCGAAAGCCGGCCGAACCGGCGCCAGTGCACGCTTGACGCAGCCGGGCCGGCTCGGCCAGGTGTCCGGCTCTTGTTCCAGCGGGGCCAGGGTGTCAGCAGGGAGGGACGCGGAGGTGTCGGGCAGGCGGGAACATGTCGGCGAGTCTTCGGGGTTGTGTAATTACACCTTGGCTACGCTCAGCGCCCATTGCACATCATGTGACATCACTCTGACCCGGCTGCGCGCCACTCAGCACCATTTGCGGTGTCTAATGGGTTAATGAAGGAACGAACGGGACATGGCGACGTCTTATGAACGCCATTCACCACGTGACGTCGAAAGAGTCATGCCAAATAAACGGTTCCGGTTCCAGAACGGTTGGAATGGGCAATGCCGCGCAAAGCTGATTGCGCACGGAACAACAGAGTTGTTAAGGAATACCATTAATGCCAATTATGCAAAACAGCGGGAAGTGGAATGATTACAGATGTGCCCATCGCTTAATCATTTAAAAGTGTCTCATACCCGGCTGTTATCGTGCAGATTGCCGTGCAGACCTACGGCTCGGCACGGCCTTGCCGACGTACCCACGACTCGATGCATTCAAATGGACAGGTCGAAGACCGTGCTAACGGACCGTCATCAATATCCGCGCCCGTTCTGATCATATTCCCTGCACATCAACCATGCGACGACGGTTACTAAACCACGGAACGGACATGCACTTGAAACAAACAAACATTTAGGGTTCGCGATCCAGATCTCGTCATCAGAATGTCCTTGGGGTCTGATACATGCGGCCTAGGGATAAAGACTCACAAATGCCATCAGTGACTGCCATAAATGTCACCATGCCACACTCTGACATAGTTTTAGGCCTGGCCAAAACCGCAACGTACACTGTGCGGTGCGGTGAAGTCAAGGCAGTCGACTAGCGCCCGTCGAAGGCGTCCCTGCCGCTGCCTGTCCCGCATCCCAGCGGCTGTATCGAGCGGCGCGTGTGTACTCGCCCCAGGCGTCACGGCGGCGCGCTCCCAAACGTGCCCGACCGGCGCCATCCAGACCACGCCGAGACCCCGCACCCGCCGCCCGAGGGCGAGCTGACGTCCCGCAGGCAGGGAGGGGCCGGCCGCTAATGAGGACGTCTCATCGGGAGTGTCCACTCCACGGCGGCCCTCCGGCCATCGATTGCTGGGAGGGTGGAGCTGGGCAGGGCGCCCGGCGGCGGCCGCCTGTGAACAGTGCGGTCCGGCTCGGCCGCGGCCACCTGGAGGCGGACCTGGGTCCGCGCGGGGGTCCGTCATCTTGACAGCGCTTTGCATCTGCGTCCAAAACAAACGTAATGTCAGCCGAAGTGCTCGGCGATCATAGTGACGTTAGACAGCTCGTGCAGGTTTAACGATTGAACGACGATTCCACTGGGATTTTTTTTTAACGTGCTCTCGTTCGCTTTCAGTCAGCATATTGTGAATCGCAGTTCTTCTATAGCCAGGCGGAGTTGCACAAGTGTTCCGAAAAATCACCGGTTACACTGTTCCTACACCTATCACTTTATCTACCACCATGCAAATCCACTCTGTGTTAACTGAGTTTCGTATCTCTGTCCGGGTACTCTGGCGCCTGATGTTTGGCACGATCCCTTCTCTCCTCTATGTGACAGACCAAATCACCAAGTCGCTAAAAAGCATTAACCACGACAAACCACACATCATTCGAAAGTCCAGAATTTATCTTCATAAATATAAAATATTATGAAGGCATTGTGAACCTGCCACTTCAATGCCACTTCAATGTCACCCCAGTCAAGCTCGGGGAGTCCGGAGTCCGGCCAGGAGCACCGCTCTGTACACAGCCGTGACCATCGATCGCCGTTCCCAGAGCTAACACTGTAAACGGCGACCAGTTCGACCAACCGCCGCGACCCAGCGCGGCTGACTTTCCAAACAAGGATCCAACTCGACCTCCACGGCCCAGTGGACCGGGATCGGACGCTACGGTCCGGTCGAATGGTCCCGGCTCGACGCACAATCAAGTGGCTACTCAGACTGTCGTCTCCCTGGCGGTTAAAGCTCGTTTCCCTGCGACTTATGAGGCGTGAAGATGGCTGCGCTGGGAAGCTGAGCGGTGATTGCCTGATGTACTTTCAGGAACACACTCTCAGTCCTCCACCGGGAGAAGAGCCGCGAACTAGCGGGAGACGGGCACGGTTCCAACGCACGCGTAGCGGAGGTGGGGCCCATTTCCCAAAAATCATTCAGAGTTCTATCTACGCTCGCGTATCGAGGCGCGGTGAGCGGCGCCGCTCACGCCCCGTTGGCTGCGACGGCCATAGGCTTGATGGGATGGCCAGCCATCGCGGCGAAACTGCTGATGCTGGATTCCCGAGTCGTACCGACATTCGGGCGGCACCGGGGACCTCTCAGCCGCCGGCAAATGTCGCTGGTAAAATTGGTCACTGGGAGTTTGTGTAGCGGAATGGACGCTGGCGCGGATCATGCTCCGCTGGGATGACTTATTTGTACGCGGTAGGCGGTTACGGGGTTTATTTCATTTCATATTTTCGACGGGTGCGTTTGAAATTTTACTGGCGAGTGTACTTCACTAATCAGAACGACGTCAGATGGACGAACCCTTCGCCGGTCTGTTGCTACACAATACTCCTCGTAAATACCCGAGCATTTATTTGTTCAGAGGCGGACGTCACATTAGTCAGTGCTGATTATGGGCGGCTGGCTGAAAATAACGACAGCACTTACCCGTCCGCCAGCCCTAAACACGGCGCACCCAGCGGCGTCGCCTCTTGCTAGCCAAGCCCTCAGATGACCGCCATGGGCTCTGTTTACCTCAGAATCGGCAAATGGGAACACAGCGTCCCGAGCCAATGACAAGCAAACGTAGTCGGCAGGATGGGGCTTCAATGTCAACACCCAGTACCACGCATCTGACCGTCAAAGTCCATGGAACGAAACCACTGTCGCCCGTCCACCGAGTCGAGTCGGACGTCACGATAAACGACAGTCAGCGAAAGATACACAGGGTGGGATCAACCATTAAAAGGCGTTCAGTATCCCGCCTGAGAGACGCATCTGGCGGCGCACAACGTCGGGCGAGGGGAAGGGGCCGCTCTGCCGGCATTGGGGCTTTACGACGCACTCAGCTGCTGAGGTCCCATGACGCAAGGGAGTCACTCCGCTCCGTCCCGTAGGAAGACCACCACAGACGACGGAGTTAGAGCTAACCGCAGCATCAGCATCGCCCGCGGCCAGCCTCGAGGGTGTGACAGACGCATTACGCCGTGGTCGGGAGACCGGACCCCGCGACCCAACAACGCCTGTGGACGAGCGGTGACTCACGGCCTCGGTCGGGGCCGCTACGATCACACGAGAAGGAAACAAACCGTCAAGTTTTATTAGAAATGTATAAAGTAGCACCGCCGAGATGCACCGAATCGCTCGCAAAAACAACAACAAACATGGGAAGACAACGGAAGATGGACTGCGGTGACGCGCCGGCGCAATGTCACGGCGCAACAATGTCACGACATGACATGACATGACATGACAATGTCATGAGTATTTGCAGGTCTGGCCGGGTCATGACAAAATAGCAAGCACTTCCCATCAAGACGCTCCACGCTGGTCCCCGAAGCAAGCACAGAAAACGAAACACAGGTGCACGGTGAGCTGGAGACAGCTCTCCGAATGCAGTAAATATGCCTGGAAACCAAACGCCAGCACGACAGGCTCTCTCTACAGCTAACACAGAAAGGGCGAGGGCAACACTCGCTCCCTCTGCCATCACCCGCATTATGCCGACATCGTAACACACCCACACCCGTGAGCTAGCTGCCGCAAGGATTCCGACCCGTTTCATTACGTCTCTCATAGCATGCCCTGGCCGGCATGTCAAGCTGGGAAAACCCAGTGAGGAAAGCAGGACATACAGCACATGATATGCAGCGACAGGTGGCAGAACACACAACAATAACAAATTAAGGAGTGATGAGTATTTAACGTACCTGACACAGAAATTAACGCCATCACCGAGTTAAACTCGTACACACGAGCTACATGACGTAACATATGAAATCTACGACAGCTGGTCACCAGAACAAACAGCAGTCATATATAGGATGAAGGGTATATAACGCACCTCATAAATCAAACGACACCATCAACGATTACTTTTCGAACACACGAGTCAAAAGACAACGGGTGCCCGGCTGACCAATGCCTATTCTTCGCATAAATAAAAAGAGAGCGCGGTACGTCTGAATTTGAAGACAAGTCGAACACCGATTTCCACTGACCCTGAACGCATCAAGCACATTTATCGAAATTGCAATTCCGCAGCAGCACCATTCTACCGGCCCTGCTCGTCTATGAATGCATAAAACAGAATATAAAACAATAATATCCCTGACAGTCATTGGACCTTACGACGCACTCAGCTGCTGAGGCTAAATGGCGTCGCCTGCCTTGCACCCTGGCGGGCAGAAAGGGCGGGCAACGTAGGGAATCGAACCCCGTACTTCTGGTCCAACAACATGCATGTCAGGGATGGAATAGCGAGATGAACCTTCCTTCATTTCAAATATAAAGAGACCTTACACTGAGATGCAACAAGAATCTGACCACCCTGAGACCAGCATATCTCGGAGGGATCAAAGTGCACGTAAGTCGGATAGTGCTGAAGCTGGCGCGCAAGTCGGATGTGGTTTGTGATCAGCTGACAAGGCGCTCTATCCGTGCCGGACAACCGTGCACTCGGAAAATTTGAGAACCACACACGATTTGCGCGTCCTTTCACACTATCTGAATGACGGGCGTTGGGGGCATTCCAGCCATCAATGCTACATCAATGTTACATATCTTCGCGGATCCGCTCACCAGAAGTTCAGAGTGCCGCTGTAAACACGAACACCGTGCTATGCACAGTTGCTTCGTGCTATGCACAGTATTCGTCACGTTTCTTGCTTTTGGGTTCGATCAGTAACGTGCCAGAAGCCCGAAATAATTTAGAAATGTTTCCTGATGATCACGAGCAAGGCCACAAATCGCTGACGACAATGCAAATCAAAACATGTGCAGACCAAGACGTTTCAGCCCATAAAGTTAACAACTACGCAACGTGCACTGCAAAAAAAACATCAAATGAAGGTAACTGTGCCCCTGAGTTAATGGACGGGAGCTGTGAGTATCTGCGTTCAACATGTGTACGTGGAGGCAACGCTTATAAACTTGCGATACTGCAAGACGGGTGTACCGCCAAACGCCTCGCTACTGACCCGAGTTTGCGGGAAAGGCCACTGTTTTAAGAGCCGAACCAGAGCTTGCGACCGTACCACTGCTTAAGTCACTCAGTCGTCCTGCTGTCTTCCTGAGCCTTTCCATAAAATCCCGTCAGAATTTCCTCCCTTGTCTCTGCAACCACACTCTGCCGCCACACCGCCACGGTGTCATCTATCGAACGACGATGCAACCACTGCTTCCCCCAGCGGCCGCAGGATGGCGCGCCAATCAGCTCGCAAGCCCAGCACCACACATCCTTTATCAGCAGCCACCAGAACGTGATGGCCTTGCGTCGCACGTTAGACGTCCACGGCACGAAGCGCGCATGCGCGCACGTGCGCACGGCTACATAGAGCAGAAAGTTCCCCAACGCCCGTACGGCAGCCCCCACCCAGTCGTCTCTCCAGGCAAGATTGTACAGCCATCGCATGGCCCAGTACGTGAGCCGCGACCAGGGCCGGGTGGGAACATGATGGCGGGCGGGGAAGGCCAGCCGCCAAGCGAGCGCGCGATACGACAGGTTGTCGCACGGCGGCACGATCAGACTCACGCCCTCCAGCATGGCGTTGGACATGGGCACGAAGCGCGGGTGAGCCGGCAGGTCCGCCAGCAGCGGCCACATCACGAACTGGAGGATGGCGTCCGCGCGACGCCGCGCCGTCGCCAGGTCCGGGCCGCACATGTTCAGGCTGCGGAAGGGCGTGATGTCAGAGACCGTACGAAAGGGGACACTGTTGGAGACTGAACACGACGAGAGGACTCCAACGTGGAGCACGCACGACGCTACAACTGGCGGAACACGACGTCACAACTGGCGGGACACGACGTCACGACTGGCGGTACACGACGTTACGACTGGCGGTACATGACGTTACAAGTAGCGGTACACGACGTTACAACGGGAAGTACCCGACGTTACGACTGGCGGTACACAACGTTGCAACTGGCGGCGCACGACGTACAGCTGGCGTTACACGACGTTACGACTGGCGGTGCACGACGTTACGATTGGCGGTACGCCAAATCATGTGTAGTCGACTACCTTACCGTCATAGCATGTATGCGTGAGACAAAATCCAAACCTTGAAGTACTGCTCTTGGCAGGTTGTGCAAAATAAATGCTCCTCATTCATAGCACCCAAAGTCCTCGGGTTAGCCTATGAGTGATGGGTAGACATCCATTAAACAAAACTCTACGGTGAGCGCGCGGCGAAAGCTCCCCTTCTCCAGCGCGGCACGGGTCAGCGCACTCCGTTCATTTGCTCATTTTGGGCCAAAACCGCTGCTGCCATCCAAGTTGCGCACTGCTGCAGCTTCATGCTGAGTCACCCGTTCCAACAAGCCCACTTTCCGTGCCCCACAGCTGGCCAGGTGGGGCGTGATTCGGCACTCCGCACGACAGCACGGCAGGTACACCAATCAGCCGGCTCCCACTTCCGCCCCTCGGGGGTGAGGTTATTGGCACCACAGGCCACCAGAGCTTCGCACGACAGCGCGGCAGGCGCACCAATCAGCCGGCTCCCACTTCCGCCCCTCGGGGGTGAGGTTATCGGCACCGCAGGTCACCAGAGCGGTACGCCCAACATTCCCTGACGGCGAGAGCACCAACACCGAGCCACGAAATCACTGGCTTTGTGTGAGCCATAGGAGCCAGTTCCACATTTGGTCATGCCCACCAGTGGTGGTGTGAGCAACCTCTCGAGAGGGGAGGGGGAGTGGGCGTCACCGAGAGGCGACATCATCCACCTGCCGGCGTCACCGGGGAAAACACGCGCCTTCCAATGACTCCTGGCGGTCTGGCTACCTGCCGTTAGATCGCGGCACCCTCTCATTTGGGACCCCGAGTGATGACGCTACCATCGTAAGATGACGTCGCCCATCGGATGATGGCATCACCCACCTGTCGGGGATGCCGAGCCGGTAGCCAACGCAGCGCCAGAAGTGCGCCAGACCGTCGAGGTAGCCGGGCCGCAGCAGGAGGCCGGTCTCAGGGCCCTCCCGCAGCAGGGCGTACCCGCAGAACGCCCACTGCGTCAGCACCTGAGGCGGCGTGGCAGCGCCGTCAGCTGCCCACACGAGCAGAGGTGGACACAGGCAGCGTAGGGGGACACGAATGTGAGTGACCACCACCGTCTTTACGGGCTGAAGACTAGACGAGGAAGACCAGATACGAGTCGCGAGTTCACCACTTGGAAGAAGGCAAAACAGACGGCGAACAAGCGCGCTGGGAGTTCGGACATCGCCGGGCGCCAGACATGGAACACGCCATATGTAACAAATCTGCACGGCATACGACACACTGACGCCCCTTAGGCGTGATACGGCTATATTTAACTACATATAGGACTACCCACGATCCTCCTACGGCCAACACAAGGCTGGAGAGGCTGCTGTAACAAAGGTGACCGCTGAATGACGCAAGACCGCATCACACTCCGGGCACAGCAAGCGAGATGGTGTGGCAAACAGCACTGTTGATGAGCCGGCGCGGTGCAGCCTCAGCCCACGAGCACGGCACCACACCTCCGACCCATGGACCGCGGGCGCGATACGCGACACCGACGGCATCAAGGTCTGTGTACGGCGACTAACTACAAACGGCGTGTCACGCTACACCGCTGAGCGTGACTGCAGCACCCCCCCCCCCCCCCCCACACACACAACGTTGACCACGCGCAGCCGCCAGTGACGACCCGCAGTGTCGCACTTACCATGTCGTACTGGGAGGGCCTGCCGGCGCCGGCGGCGGCAGCGTGGCGAAACGCACGCGAGTGGCGGCCGTCCACCGTCCGCATCCGACGGCCGGAGCGCTGCTCGGTGTGGAACACGTCCCCGCGGTACCAGCCGATCACCATGCGTACCGTCTCCAGGTACCTGGGGTACAGAAGATGGTCACACGTGCTGGGGACACGTCCCGGCGGTACCAGCGATCACCAGACCTGCGGCCTCCAGGCATCAGGGTGCAGCCAGCAGTCACGAATGGGAGCGCACCCTGAGCTGCCAGTCAGGCAGCATACCATGCTCTCCAGCCAGCTCGGCATTACAGTCACAGCTCATCACATGTGACCACAGCCACAAATACAACTACCATCGGTGCCGTTCGCCGTCGTCTGCCGCATCAAAGACAAACTCCATCAAACAATAGATATTCTCACACAATAGCTACGAGGCATCGCAAATGCACACAAATCATCAAAAGCAAACATTGCATTTGTTTCAAAATGTACTCAACAATTTGAATTTAATGACAGCAACATAATCTGCCTGAATGATTCAGTCCTCAATACACCAAAACTGATAGGCTGACAGCCTTTACAAAGACAAGGCCAGTTGGGCAACTGTCGGACCTCAGGAAGGCAGTCTCTCTGGTGGCTGACTTGCCGCTGTCAATGAGCACACTCAGGATGGATGGCACATTGAGGATTTGCAGAAGCCCCACCAGGTGCAGCATCATCAGTGTCAAACAGTTGTGATGAAAACACTCCTGTCCCCTGAAAAAGCCAGCCATGTTATCATGGTTACACTGACATTGTATGTGAGAAAGACTTCCTCACTCAATGTCTGAGGCAGTGAGTGAAGGGGCCAAACACAGATGCCACAGAATTGTAGCTAAATGTTATTGAAAACAATGCTGCATGACAACAAGCACATGATGCCTGAGATGTAGATGATAGATGGATGTAACAAATGTGACCTACAAAAACACTATGTACATTTTCACCAGTGCATGCCAACACCACCATTACATTTTTACTGAAGGTATTACTATCTATGTACTCTAATGTAAAGCACCATAGACATGCTTGATGTGAGAAAGATCTAACATCGGTTTTATGGAAAGATACAGCACATGTCATAATAAGTTGCAAAGTTGAGGTAATTCACCACACATGTACACCATGCAGTAGCCTGCATCACTCTATCCTCACCTTTTATAGAGTGTTTCATCAAACCAAGAGGGCCTGGGCCGGGCTGTGGCCGAGTGATCTGCTGGCTCCGTCATGCCATTGGTTAGCAGATGGTGGATGTATTCTGGCGGCTTGCGCATGCGCAGACGCTGCCATGAGTCTGAGAATGGCTGCTCAGCCATGGCTCCTGGTGAAGGTTGTGCAGGGTGATTGCAAAGAATGATACAACTGAGATACACCACTAGTTCAAGAAATTACAATAAAACTTGATGACCAACAGTCTGATCTTTTGCAAAAATATGCAAATGCAAGTATCAAAAAACAATATAGTCAGATAAGCCACATTATATATGTGACTGGTCTAAAGGTAGCATTGAACCTGAAATAATGCTAAAACTTGTGGGAATACTGTTTTGTGTTTTAATAGCACCATCAGCCCGAGGCCCCTTAAAAGCATGATGGTTTATTGCAATGCCTGCTTACCCTTCCAGAATTAAATGGCTCAATGAACCCTACTACCCTGGCTAATATGGAGTCAGCCTATCACTGAATACAAATCTGGCTAATATGGTGTCAGCCTATCACTGGATACAAATCTGGTCAAACACACTAGATAGCATCACATGCTTACTGCACCAAATATTATGTGGTTCTCTTACTAAGTTCAGGTCAAAATTAGTACTAAGAGCCAAGTACTAGCAATCCATATCACATTTTCTGCACAAGATTTGCACCCTAGCAAAGGAAAACACATAATATGAGATATGCACATTCATGGGCATTTGAATATGAGGAAATTATCTTATCATCACTTCAGGCATGCCAACCAATGCATATTAATACTTTGACTAGGTAAACATGACCACTTTCATATAACCTATCAAAAGAAGCAAACACCACCACAACACTCGAACGCGGAAGTATTTTTCCCGAAACACGTGAGCTTCGTCCGCACCTTGCAGTCACAACGCTTCGACCCAAGTGCATGGACTTTCTCTAACCCAACCATTTTGTTCCGAACTTACCTCAGCCCGTAAGTGTTTGGATAACAGGCCAGCCAGCCCGGCCCAGGCATCAGCAGTCCGCGGGACTTCGCGGTGCCGTTTGTTTTTGCCTCCGGCAGGTCAAAGAAAGTAGGCCGCTGATGCAACTGTCGCAGTACCGCTAACCTCGTAACTGGGAGTGCTACCAGATCAGGGAAAAAACAGTGCTGCCAGTTTAAGTTTTCTATGCCAGGGATTCTTGTTGGTTTTGGAAAAATAGTTCACTGACTTCGTTACTCTCACAGATTGCAACTTAGGAGTCATAAGCATAGATGTAACCGCTGATGGACATGTCTTACCTGCTGAAAATGACTTATGCCCATCTCCAAAACTGGGTGCAAAAAAGGCTTTAAGCACAAGCGCGCCAGCGGGAGTTTACCGGGAGTAACTGGTGTGGCCATTCGATACACACACTGAGGGCATGTATAAGCTTATACAGGTCGCGTCTCTTCGAGCACCCAATTCTCACATGGAACCACAAACGGAGAATTTTAGCACAGTCAAATTGATTCAAACGCGACGCTACAGAAGCATAAGCAAGCAGAGAAGGTAAGATGAAGTGTTCGGAAACCGCACAGGCGTAAACAGACATTTAAATTTACCATCAGTTTACCATTGTGTAGAAAGCATCAGATTTGTGTCAACCTGTTTGACGCAAGCATTTTCTTCCGGAAACTTTTGCGAACAGGCACTGACGCGTTTACCGACAATGTACGTTGCAGGGAGCTACTAGCCAATTACACAATGGTATTAAATTTTGCCTTTGGTCGCCTCGGCGCGAAACTAGACCTTCCTTACCCTTTCAGTGATGAAGGTATACCCTGCAGACACATTCCAACTTTCAGCACACTTAGAAAGGCTGCTGGACGCGGGAAGAGAAGAGGAGCGGCTTGACTCTGGGACCCTCTCCGCTGCGCTCCATTTTTGACCATCCTTGCATTCAGAACACGACTTCAGGAGAGGCTGAATCTGTTTATTCCAATATTACTATGCCGGTGACTGGCTGCACCTATGCTTACGAAGGTGAACTGGGATTTCCTTCACAGATGGCATGAAAAAGGCTAAGACATGAAGGAAATCATTTCAGGGCACTTTCCGTCTTGACCCAGCTTCGGAGGGTAGGTGGTCTATCTTGAGATCACTTCGCTTCCTTTCTCTCTTTAAAGACTAAAATTGTTGCCTCAAAAGAAAGTTCGTGACTTCTAGTAAATTTGGAAGAATACCGTGGAAAACAATTTCATTCACCGTCATTGAGAAATTTACCATCATTCGTACTCACCTGATTCAATGCTCCATTGCACGATATCCAATTGCGAGCCACACATGAACACCAAAACGGCCATTCCTGTTTTGTCGTCCGTGGACAATAGTTAGTTTTATCTTTTATTCTACTGGTATATGTCACAGACTCTAATCCCGGAGGTCATGCGAGCCGGGTATTTGACCAGCCGAAATGTTAATCGACCGTCCAGTTCCCAGGCTCACCTACACGGACGAACCAGGCACAGCCTCCTGCGATAAAAATTTCGCTTCAGCTATACTCCCGCTTGGCTCTTGATGTTCAGAACCAGATTCTTCACTTAATGTCAAGACTGGGTCATTCACGTGAATTTATGTCCCACTCCCTACGCCAAGCACATTGGCCACAGGGACACGGCAAGATGGCTGAACACGAGCCCGCTCCACTGTCCGAGCGAGCCGGCCGGATTCCCCCTCTGTTGTGTACGGTCGTCCAGGCCCGTCGCCGTCGCTAGTCGGCCGGGATCCCCTTCCTGCTGTTTACGGTCTCCTCCAGGACCCCCCCCCCCCCCCCTCCGCCATTGGTCGACCTCGGACTTCGCTCAGGTGAACGGCGCGGAGCGGGCGCTGCGCACTATCCTGAGGGGCCTGTTTGTGATACTGCGTACATGCGGCGTGGGTCGGAGGGAGACAACAAAGCATGGGGGTTGCTTGGAGAGAGGACATTGGAACAGGCGGGGGTGTTAAGCTACCCAGGGAGAGAGGTGAACCCAAGTCACGGGTCGAGGGGACTATTCAGGGTTACCCAGGCATCCATGACGCCATAATAACGTCATTCAAATTGTGTTGTGCGGTCGCGCGGGGCGGAGGTGCCCGGCGCGTAGAGGCACCAGAGCCGCACGAGCTGTGCAGCACGAGATGTATTGTTGCCGGCGCTGACGGCGGCGGCGGCCGCCATCCTGGGTGGCGTGAAGGGGCGCGGACTAGGGTCAGCTGCTCAGTCTTGTCAATTCTGTAACGTTTGGTTGTACCGTCGTGCTGTACCGCATAATTTAGTATTCGAATCGTAATTCAAATACAAGCTATTCCGGCACTATGGCGACGGGTGTTCCGGACCCGTGTGTGCAAGCCCCTGTGATGACCAGCGGGGTGACGCTGGCAATTAGTCTACAAGCGACTACTTCTGCTCACACTAGCTGCCGCCGCTCACCAGCCAGCAGCCGCAGCACCGACATTCGATGCTCGCCTCATCCTCGAGTACGACGGGACCGGTGATGACGTGAGCTGGATGACGCGTGCGGAGCTGCTGTGCCAGCTGAAGGGGGTGGCCGCCGAGTCGGTCATACCTCTGCGCCTCGCCGGCGGCGCGTTCCACGTCTGGTCGCAGTTGCCGGTGACCGACCGCTGCTCCCTGGAGGCTGTGCGGGGCGCACTAAACTCCGCGTTTGCCCTCGATCAGTACGCCGCCTACGAGATGTTCGCCACTCGACGACTGATGCCGGTTGAGGCGGCTGACGTGTTCCTGGCCGACCTCCGGCGGCTGGCGGTCCTGTTAAGTGGGCTGCCGGAGCGCGCGCTGGCCTGCGCGTTCGTCGCGGGGGTGCCGGACGCCGTCCGCCAGACCATTCGCGCCGTCTCGAAGGCTGAAGGATTGAACCTGACCACCGTCCCGGCTCGTGCTCGTGCCTTTCTCAGTGATGAGCGGGTATCGGCGGCAGCAGTGCTGCGACGGGCCGCGGCGCCGTCCCCCGGCCAGCGCCGTGTGTCGCCGCAAAGTCAACCACCACGCGCCCTGCGTCACCCGCGCTGCTGGGCTTGTGGAAAGCTCGGTCACATCGCGGCGAGGTGCCGGCAGCGACCAGGAAACGGAGCCGGAGGGGACGGGTCAGCACCGTCGTCCTCTCCTGCGCAGCACTGAGCGGTAGCGCTGCCCGTCACGCGGGTGAGGGTGTATGGCCGGGAGTGCAGCGCCCTGCTAGACACCGGCAGCACAGAAGACATCATCTACGCTCCCTTCCGCGTGCAGTGGGTGCCGCGGCAGGTGCGAGTGACCACCATCAGTGGAAGTGAGCTGAGGTGCTGCGGGGTCGGCATTGTGGTTATGGGGGTGCCGACGGGCCGTCGCGCCTCGCTCGAGACGTTGGTGGTGGGGAAGCGGCCGCTGGGGATGGACATGGTCCTCGAGGTGGCAGGCATCTCGGCGCTGGGGGGTGTGACCGTACCGTCTCCGTCTGAGGTTCGCTTTTGTGGGGCCGCTTGTCGTGTGCCGCTGAGCGTGGATCCCCCGGATTTCAGTGTGTGCTTCGACGCGGCAGGGCGGAGGTGGACCGTTGCTTGGAAATGGTCGGACGGCGTGGGACCGGAACGTCTGACGAACAATGTCGCCCAGTATGCTGTGCCGCCAGCTGCTCGTCGCGAGTGTGACACCAGGTTGGACGCGTGGGTCGCACAGGGTTGGCTGGCGCCTTATGATGAGGGTCGCCATGGGACGGCGTGGGGGTTGGTACCGTTGATGGCCGTGCAACAGTGCAACAAGTCCAATTTGCGCCCGGAGATGGACTACCGCGAGCTGAACGGTTTTGTGACGGCCCACACTGCCGACACTGACGTGTGTGCTGATCAGCTCCGGAGATGGCGCCGCCACGGAGCGAACGTGGCGGTGGTAGATCTCAAGCGTGCGTACCTGCAGGTGCATGTAGAGGAGCGGCTCTCGCCGTTCCAGACTGTGATGATTCAGGGCCAGCGGTTTTGTTTGACGCGCTTGGGTTTCGGCCTGAACATTGCCCCTCTGGTGATGAAGGCCGTTGTGCGGTCCGTGCTGGAGCAGGACCCGGACGTACAGCGTGCTGTCCTTCCATACGTGGATGATCTCCTCGTAAATGAAGATGTGCTCAGTGCAGGGCGTGTGGTGACCTTCGCGGAGTTTGGGCTAGACTGTAATGCTCCGGAGCGGGCGGCCAGCGTGGCCAGCTGCTGGGCCTGTGCGCCCAGGCAAAGGGCAGAGAACCGCGATGGGTGGGGGCAACCCGGTGGGCGCGCCGCCGGCCCGTGTGACGCGTCGCGCCGTGTTTGCGTAATGTGGGCGACTGGTCGCACACCTGCCCGTGTGCGGATGGCTAAGGCCTGCAGCAGCCTGGCTCAAACGACGTGTGAACCAACCGACGCGAACGTGAGATTACGTCACCGAGGATGCAGCGCCGCGCGCTCAGATGGACTACATCGCTGGACGCCTGAACAGTGACGACCCGGCCCGTGGTGCGTGGAGGGTGAAGACATGGTCATCTGAACGCACGCGAGTTCCCTGGCTACGGGGGTCGTGGTAGGGTCGGCGCACGGTGACGTCATCGAGGACGCGTGCTGGCTGAGATGGGATGAAGCCGCGCACATCAACATGGCCGAGCTGGACGCGGCCATCCGAGGCGTCAACCTGGCCGTCGCCTGGGGAGCACGGACAATCGACCTCCGCACCGACTCGGCTACCGTTCATCGCTGGCTTGGTGACGCCATCAGTGGTCGCGCGCGACTCCGAATCAAGGCGCACGGCGAGCTACTGATCCGGTGGCGCGTCGAAATCGTCTGTCAGCTGGTCGTGAGCTGCGGCTGCGGTTGTCCGTGGCGCTCGTGCGATCAGCCGAGAACCGAGCCGACACGCTGACACGCGTGCTCAAGAAGCGGCTCCGTGATGCGAGTGCGACTCCTGTGGGCGAGCCGCCGCCGCCGGGCGTCAACGCGGCGATGGTGGACGAGCCACCGCCGCCGGGCGTCAACGCGGCGACCGTGGGCGAGCCGCCGCCGCCCGGTGTACACGTGGTACATGCCGCCGGTGGCGAGAGGAACGTGCTTGGTGCATCGGCCCGAGAGTCGCACGAGCGGGCGGGTCACCCAGGGGTCCGTCGAATGCTGTACTTCGCACGCCGTGACGTGTCGCGTGACGTCACGCGAGTCGTTGCACGTGCGGTGGTGGAGAGCTGTGAAACGTGCCGCTCGATTGACCCAGCGCTGGTGCGGTGGCGACACGGCTCGCTCGGCGTGGCTGCCACGTGGCAGCGCATCGCCATTGACGTCACCCACCACAACGGACAGAGCTACCTCACCATCATCGACTGCAGACCATCTCGCTTCTGCGTGTTGCGCCCCTTGCGCCGCGCCGGTGCCGTCGAGGTCGTCGGTCACCTAGAACAGCCGTTCCTCGAGCGTGGGGCTCCGAAGGAGGCCGTTTCGGCTGGCAATGACACTGTGTTTCGTGGCCGCCAGGTGGCCGCTCTCGCGGCGCGGTGGAGAGTGACCATGAGGTTCGGTCCTTTTTATGAGCCGGGTGGCAACGGAGTGGTGGAACGCTGGCACCGGACCGTTAAGGTCATCGCTGTGAGGCGTCGTTGTACTGTGGCCGAGGCCGTCCACCTTTATGATGTGACCCCCGCGATGGGGAGACAGCGGAACCCGCGCCAGCGTCGTGGGTATATCGGCACTCTGTACGGGATTGTGTCCGGCCAGTGCCGACGGGCGCCGCTGAGGCTGGGGAACCACGCCCTCCCGTGTCTGACGGTGCGCATTTCAGAGTTGGGGACCGAGTGTGGATGCGTCGCCGAGGTACGCGATGCACGGAAACGTCGCTTTGCGGGACAGCGACGGGTGTGGTGTCGTGACAGGTGGTAGCGGTCAACGGAGTGTCGTGGCACGTGAGAGACGTTCGGCCTCGGTGCGGAGCGGGCGAAGACGGCGGCGGGAATTGGACCGCCGATGTGCGTGTCATGTGTGGACTGTCAACCGGAAGCGGAGGACGGTGCTGGCGCGGCTGCAGACGCGCCTGGGCCGGCAGACCGTGCGGTTGGGCCGGCCAGGGACGAGCTGGTGCCACTGCGCCGGAGCACACGCCTGCAGAGGGCGCCGCAGTGCCACTGTTGTAATGATCCGTAATGCGCTGTTAAGATCCATGAGAATCAGGGATGTGCGTTGTGCGGCCGCGCGGAGCGGAGGTGCCCGGCGCGTAAAGGCACGAGAGCCGCACGAGCCGTGCAGCACGAAATGTATTGTTGCCGGCGCTGACGGCGGCGGCGGCCGCCGCCTGGGTGGGCGAGGGTCGGCTGCTCAGGCCTGTCGATTCTGTAACGTTTGACTGCACCGTCGTACTGTACAGTAGCATTTAGTATTCGAATCGTAATTCAAATGCACGAATCTTGTCATTCCATTAGTCATGCGGCGGCCAAGGCCATTAAAAATGCAGTTATCGAGTCGTTTATATCTAGCGTTCCTCATCACAATTTAAAGATAAAGCGACAGTCAACTGGCTGTCATTCAATGTTGTGCAAGGTACGTGGACGCAGTCAATGGTGACGCATTGAGGGACATTTATTACACAGAGAAGCTGTGTTTTCTAAAGCATGCGTTTCCACCAAAAAGTGTGCCAACAGTGATCAGTAAGCTTAATTCATCACATCTGGTGTTTTCTTCACTATCATCAAATATGGAAGATTCCATGTATTGGTGCCTCGTGCATTTAGCCCAGCCGGCCAGGCAAAAACCACGCGCTCAGACGTTTAGCAAAACCTAATACCCACGCCCTAAATAGCGATATAGTTGCTAGCGGCATCCGTTTGGAAGGCTATCATGTTAACATCATGTTGGAAGGCTATCATGAAAAATGTTTACTTCTGTTCAGGGACAGTCATACCGCAACATAACTTTTTGAACCCATCAAATGACGCATCAGCAAAACATGTCAAAAAATCGGCAGAACGAAAGGGAAACGGAAACTTAGCTGCATCGGTCATGACGTGAATCTGGGCGTTTGCACCACGTAATGCAAACAATTTGCTCGTGATAAATAGCCTAACAGAAGTCCAAACCGTGCCACCTGCGAAATCCCTTCGGTGACCTTTTCAACCCGCATCCTAGTGACCTTCCTTGGATCTCTCTGGAAGTTAGGTGAGGCGAGGCCTCCTCTCACTATGAAGAAATATACGATATCATCGGCCAGACAAAATTTGGGATATCGCTGAACCGAATTCACACTGCTATGCTGTCTACGTAATTTAATAACTCAAATATATTTCGGAAGAGCCTAATACAAAATACGCATGAAAACCATCTGACAGCAAACGAACCCATAGGTGTGATGTTACATTGATGACGATATAAGAAAACAAATGTTATCAACTTGGCTCACTTCATGCTTCATTGCAACAAAACAGTGGCATCGCGAATCGTTTGGGGTTGGTGGACTAGAACAGCTGTTAAGTCGTTTTTTTCAATGCAACATGTTAAGGTAAGTGTTACATTTTTACAAATCTGGAGCCAACTATCCCTTTTGGCCTCCACCCCCCCCCCCCCCCTAATCCACTCTTCTTGCCTCAAACATCGGTTTGTTTGAGTGGAGGCGTAAGCGAGGTGACGTTGCTATGGTTGGAAAAAGCTACCTACCGAACATATGAGCATCTGCATAGCCCACAGCCGTCGCTCACTTTTCGGCTGGTTCAATAAAAGATACGCGCCGCGGCGTTCCATTTCATAAACTCGAAAAACTGTTTTTTCTGAAGCGTCTTTGCTATCACTAGCATCCAAATGCTTCAATGTGGCAATTTAGCAACAAAATTTTGTTTTTTCCTTTGTCTAGAAACCACTTCCACGATATATAGTCACTTATAGCGGACCAACGCATGTTTTGTTCCTGTGACGTTCTACTACAATAGCCCATCGACGCCACGTTTTTCCACGACCGTCGGTCCGCAGCAGGTGTTGTCTTGCACTTCTAAGACTTCTCAGACACACACTGCTAGTATCTACGATGTTCTTGCGCTTTCAAGAAATGCTAAAACCTAAATTACAAAGTTTATTTTCTACACAATGAATGGCTCTTGCTGCAGCTCCTCCATCTGCTTTGGTATTTGTTTTGTCATCCACGTTGTCATGTGGCCATTTATCACCAATGCCAAACCATTCACAAAGTTCGCGTAATGGGTGGCGAGGTGCTGATATGATAAATGACGCACGCAGTAATTTCGACAATCATGCAGATACAAATGTGACATCGCGCCTTCTAATTAAACATCGTTGTCAATATAATTTTATTTCATAAATATATCGTAGCGCAAGACAGCTGGTAATACGTGTCTTGGTATACTTACTAATAGTGACGTAAACGTTTGCTCGTGGTATGAATATGCACACAGATTGGAAGCGAAGATAATTGGCACGTCTACAAGCAAATGAACAAGGGTAAAACCATCGATTCACCGGCATCCGGTGACAGGAAAATGCGACAACCTTACACGTCAAATCACCTAATACCACAAAAGGACGCGATCCGATCTGTAACTTTTGTTGGAAACTGTCCTGATAGAACGCAAATAATTAAAGAGGACCGAACCGACGCGGGAGACGGCGAGCCAACGATAGTACGTTGCGCCATCCTCCGCAGCAGTCGGGCCCAATGCAAACACCACAACATATCACAGTCAATTGTCTAATATCGCGACAAAATAAAAGTACGCTATTAGCCAATTATGTTCAGACATTTCGCACACCATCCATGCAACGCTCTCAGGCCCGACAAATGCTCGCACACCTCAACCGCCCGACGGCGGTTGCATGAACTAAAACTTCACCTAACGTCCGTCGACGGCGGCGCCGAAAGCCACGCCCAGCACGAAATGTCCAGACGATCACGTGAGATGGCGTATGTACAAGTGACGATGAAAACGATGGCAGCTGCCAGCACGGACCAGCGCGCGGCGGACGGGCGGGCGGTGTGCCCTCCCATCTCGCCTGCCACGCCCCGCTACACATCTCGGACCACAGTGCCGTTCTTCTCGAGGATCAGCGCGTCCGAGTGCAGGCCGCGGCCGTCCAGGCGCACGAAGTGCATGATCTGCGGATCGTTGAGCGGCTTCTTCTCCTCGATCATGTGCTTGGGCGAGTAGCCGCTGCGCTGGCGGCGCACGCACCAGAAGACGAACACGGCCAGCAGCAGCAGCAGCAAGAAGCCGATGACCACACACAACACGATGTAGCTGGACGACTGCTGCTCGCCTGCAACGGACGTGGACAGACATGCTCACCACGCAGGCTACGTAGCTGATATGCTGATGAACAGAACTACTAGTTCGAGAGATGGTGTACGCAATGGTGGTATACTAATGCTCTTCGCAATAACCTATCTGCTAACCTAATAATGGTGCCCCAACGACAATCACATTATTGCTAAAACCGATAATGGTTCCCTTAACAATAGCAAAATTGCTAATGAGCCGATCAGAAGTGAGAAAACGGGCCTAATGGAGGTAAGAAATCACATAAATGCAATGCATAATTCTTAGGCACATCATAACCTCCTCTCCCTGAAGCCTGTTTACTCGAGCGCCGGCCATGACACAGCGCACCGCAGAGCACCGCTCCGTTAACTCAGTATGTACTCCCCCCACCCGCCTGCCCACCTGGCTCCCGCTCCACGCCGTGATGGGAGGTCTGGGTGGGACCTTCGGGCGTGCGCACCACCGTGCGGTGGGTGGCCTTGCTGACTCCGCTCAGCAGGTGGAAGTTACGCTGGGCGCTCGTCTCCTCTGCGGATGGAGACAACAGGGGACGTGAAACAGACGGCCTCTGAGATTGGGACATCACATGGCCAACGATAGACATTAGCACGTTGGAGTTAATCTTACAGACAGCGCCCGCAATCCGACAATACATGCAGCTCTCGCTTACACTTTCACAAAAAGTGTGCCACGAGTAGGAGCCTGTTACTCCTACAAACAACTTAAGCATTCTTGTATTGAAATTGCTCCGCAATTTACTTTAAATTGAACTTGCTGCGTAATTTTAGCATTGATATCTTGATAATGCCATTTCATTGACTGAATGTTAAATACGTCAACATCAGCTTTCTACGCGCTGCCCATCCCAGCAATGGATGTGCACACTGACCTGAGGAGCACCTCCGAATGAGTTACGGAGAAGAACCATATGTAACTTCCCTCGTTTGTCAACATAAACAGGACAACGCAATCAACAACATACGGGCAAGACTAATAATTCGATGCGTTGTATTCCCAATTTCAAAAAGACATTGGCAGAGTACGACGGAATATCGTACGCGAAGTCACCTTTGCAGGTGGGGCAGCACTGGCCCGGCTCCATGACGGGAGAGTCACAGACGACCGTGCAGGTCTTGTGGGTGCACACAGTCTGTCCGCGCTGACAGACGCAGCTCGTGCACTTGCCCACCTCCCAGGTCTGGCCGGAGGCCATCGTCCGGTTTTCGTACACGCAGTCGAACGACTGGGCAGGCTCTGTGCGGGGGGGGGGGGGGGGACGGCACGAGCGTCAAAAGCTGCTGACATCTCAGACGCATGGCCTATAATGCCTGACACAAATATGAAGCGCGGCGCTGGCACACAACTGCTGAATTACCCCGAGGCTGCAGGCGTGATGGTCAAATTACGTCGTAGAGGCCTGAAGGACGATGCGGCCGTTTAGTAGCAGATGGCCGACGGTCGCAGCATGCCCCGGTGAGACGAGGCACTGCCAGGATTTGGGATGAAGCGGTGAGTGAGGGAGGCACGGCGGGCAGATGACAGCGGGAGAGCAAATGCCACAACACCCCGGCCACATCTCGTCGGTCGCTCACCCAGGCAGACAGGACAGCAGTGGCTCTTCTTCAGTACGGGCCGGACGCAGTCTAGCAGCGGACACTTCTCGTGGAAGCAGCTGACCTTGCCCTGGCGGCACACGCAGCTTGTGCACGTCCCCTGTCGCCACGCGTCACCCTCCGCCCTGACGACGCCACTCGCGTCCGTGCACTCTCCGCGCGCCGTCTGGTGGCCGGCTGTCGAAGCACAGGTTGCGCAGCATTCCTCTAGATGACGGGTCGGTTCGGCGCAGGGGGCTGGAGGGCAAGGGGGCGCGCTGCAGAGCACGCGGCCAGCATGGCAGAGACAGCGCGTGCACGGGTCGAGCTGCCACGTCTGCCCTTCCACGTAGGTCTGGCCGTTCACCGACTGGCATACGGTGCCGTTCAGCTGGGCAGGGTGCTCCGTCCCGCCTGCAACAAGCCGATCGAGGTACAGAACCCGGCCGGTACCGGCCACTAGGTGACGGCATGATGCTTGTCTAGATATCTCAGGAAGTTTTTCCAAAGCTGTTAACGTGTCATCACATGGAACATATTAAAACTATGCACTCAAAAACATCTTAAGCAATGGACTAACATCACGTTCATTAGCCATGGCGATCTAAGAAAGGCACTTAAGCTATTCACACAGTCGATAGGCTTCATCGGTCGGCAGCATCACCCACGCATACAGACCAGCCTGGTCGTGTGTGCGCGGCCGTACCAGGACAGGTGGGGCAGCACTGTCCGTCGGCGATCTCTGGCTGGTCGCAGCGGGGCACGGGGCACGAGATAACGGCGCACATCTCCTCGCCGCCGTGGCAGTAGCACTGGCGACACCCGTCGTGCCACTGCTCGCCCTCCTCGTGCGTCACGCCGTCTGCGGAGGACAGCACCGTCACGGGGTGCGCGCGACGCCAGGCGGTGATCGCGTCACGTCGTGACGTCGACGAGCTGAGTCGCGCCGGGTGCCGTCGCCCATCGTCACGCCGTCACAGGGAGATGGGGTGGCCGGTGCTAACCAGGCGACATGTTAAGCACGCAGGTGCAGGTAAGTAATTCGGTCACCTGCCTCCTGCCTCGGGGAGAGTTCTGTCTGAGGATGAGGGTTCGGTCAGGTTCCAGCTAAATCAGTCATAAACGTCGTGCCTGAACGGCGAGATCAAGCGAACAAGGCAAAATAAAAACCGACATTTTGGCAAACGCAATGTCGGTTACAAACGAAACGAACGAAACGAACGAAAATGTCACAAATGTACTCAAACGAAAATGTCATAAAACATAACAATTTTGTTCTCGTTTTATCAGAAGCTCCGAGTACATCCAACAGAGCCTGGAGCTAACGCCGAAACACAAAATACAATACAAATCTCGGGAGCGAAGTTCACACGTCGCACCGCAACACGGCACTGTGGTATTTCGTAGCTCGCAAACGCAGCCGATCTGCCAGCCTTGGCTGTTAAATAAGCTTCACGAAAGCATCAAAGGAACTAAACGAACATGACCCCGCTCCAAAAAACATCCAGCTTGCTGACGTGCCCGACCCCCATTGACATGCTGATCCAGCTTCATGACCTTTCTCCGCACCTCACGCACGCATTCAGATGCGATGCCAATTCCGGACAATGGCCGGCCTCCATCGACGGACGCACGCGCGTGCGTGAACCCACCTAGTGTGACGCAGTCCATGTCGGCCGCCTCGTGGCCGGCCAAGGCGACACTCCGGCCGTCCTCTGGCTCCGAGCGACACTTGCAGATGGCACACGCCCTGTCGTTGGTCATGAAGCCGTGCGGACACTTCTTGGTGCAGTCCTTCAACTTGCGGCACTTCTTGCATTTGCACCTATGGTGAAGGGGTGAGGCAAGATTTTTATGTTGCATAGATTGCTGGTTACGAGGCTGAGAAAGCAACACGACCTCGCCTCATCATAGGGCTAAAAAAACAAAACCTCCCTCATCTTACTCACGCCCTTACATTTTGTTGTCCCTAGCAATTTGCCTCCATCGTCATCCCCCTGCCCTGACACAATCTCCAAAGTACTCATACCTCAGCCGGGCGGACACTCATCCCAAAACACCGAAAAAGGAAACAAGGACTGTTAAAGTCAAACGAAGGTTGAGGCCTGCGTGACGGCAAAGAGCTATGCAACAAGTCAAATTGGCATTCTTTCCGTCTCCGATCTTCCTTGTTCAACAGCAGCCGCTGTCAAAGCGCCGCGCCTATGTTATTTAGGGAAAATCAATTCATCAATGGTTCGCACCTCAACGCCCGCAAACTCCTCACCACAGCCAACAGACCGGCCTCGCCGCCACAGGCCACCTCTCGCTTCCTCGAAGGCCCTGGCGCTCGCCCCGCCCCGCTCAGCCAGCTCGCTCGGCGCTCACCTCTCGCAGCCGTTGTCGTCCACCTTGAAGCCGTGCGGGCAGGCCTTGCGGCAGGCGGCCATGCTGCGGCAGCCGGCGGGCGCCGTGCCCACCTCGTCCGCGGTCAGGCACTCGCACAGCGGCTCGCCGTCCCGGGAGGTGCGGTAGCCGTGCTGACACATGACGTCACATTCTGCGAAAAGGAGGTGAGATTTCAGACATGCGCGTGGAGGTTCGTCGTGGCAAGGGGGAGGGGGGGGGACGACCATGCTGACACATGGCGCACACTGGGAGCCAGGGCATGGTGTCAGGCACACTCAAAATATACCAGCAAGGCCAATATACCTTTCCTCAATCGCCGCCTAATCCTGTATCCTAGCAACGGTTCATGTCGCCAGGAGCCGGAGTATGCTGAGGCCTTCAGCCATGATTCGTCCTCACAACCCCTCTGGTTGACAGCATGTGGACACTCATCACACCCGCCACGTGCGGTCCCTGTGAGGGGATACAAGTCTGTCTGGTTATCCCATTAAAATAGGATAACCCAAGACGGCAGCACCGCTTCCTCATCCGTTACCTCGCTCCGGAATGCCATAGTCCTGGAATGGTCTTTTTAGATAGAACAAGTTTCCTCGTAATCAAACTAAAAACATCCAGGCACGCCTCAAACAGAAGCACCACAGCGCACTGTCACGACATTGGATGTGATTGCTTTAGTGCTGCGTTGATCAGATAAAGACTGCGAATAGCAACATATCAAACGTCACTGCCTTCTTAAGGCAACAGCGTGAGAGAACAGTAATAAATAAACTCAACAAAGCCAATCGATGACGTTTTTGAGTTGTGGCGCAGCATTGCAAATAAGCCAGCATAAATGGTGTTCGCTGATTGCCTCACGGACTACAACTTCGGCGGAGCAACAACTTCCGTGTTACGATTTCTTAACCAAAACAACTCTAAATACAAACACCCACGAACACAAAACAAACACGGCGGTGTGACCTATCATCCGCCTTCCCCGCCCCAGCGACAGCTGCCTCCGCTCAGCCGCCAGCGCCGTTTCCGTTGGAACGTGACCGGACCGGGTCTGTTGATGGCACGCAACCCGAGCCATCTGCTCTCGTCGGCAGAAACACGTCCTGCGGCGACACGGCGCCGCCCGAGCCGGTGTCCGACACACTGGGCGTGCCCCGCCGGCGCCAGGGAGCAGGGTCCGTCACAAGGACCCGCTGGCTGCTCTCGGCGAGACTCGGTGCGACACGGGCAGACTCGCGCCGGTTGAACACGGCGCCGCCCGGGCCGGTGTCCGACACACTGGGCGTGCCCCACCGGCGCCAGGGAGCAGGGTCCGGCACAAGGACCCGCTGGCTGCTCTCGGCGAGACTCGGCGAGACTCGGTGCGACACGGGCAAACTCGCGCCGGTTGAACACGGCGCAAGGCTGATGACCGAACTTTGCTTGTTCCGTCGCGTGACTCCGGTTTGTTCGCCTGCGTTATCGTTTCCAAGCAAAACGAAGCGTGAGCTGTGTTCCATATGAAGTACCCAATAAAGCCTCTTTTTCGAGCGTACCGACTGCACCCCTGAGCTGATGGCGATCGTGCAGCCTCCTCCGGTTACCGTAGTGTGGGGGAGTGGGGGTGGGGGTACCGCGGGAGTGGGGGAGACAAAGCAGCAGTTACCGTTGTTCCGGAAGGGGGGGGGGCAAAGTCGGCAGGAAGGCAAAGTCGGCCGGCAACAGCGATGTCCCGGTTCGCTTCAAACCCGGCGCAGCACGCGGGGATGTGTTGAGAGTTGACATCGCACGTCACGGCCAGCGCATGAGCGTGAACTCAGTGCAACCAGACCAAGGCCTTCCCGCGTTTGCTTATCTCTTGGGGCCAGTACAAAGCAAAACTTCTGTCCTCGAGACCAAACATCAGATGGAACACACTGAAAGCAATACCAAAACCACTCCAGCTTCAATTTCACATCTTTGGTACTATTTAAAATACATGCATATTAATAACCCTCACATAAGCGATTTGCAGGATCATTCATCTACTTCTTTGAGGGAAGCGAAAATTGATGTTTAGTTAAAACCAGCGCTTTCTTGTGCAGCTCAATGCCTGGATTAATGCAGTAGCTAGGGCAAAAAGCATCCCTGATCAGCACCAATATCCTACGTTCGTCTGCCGGTCGGGCTGCACGCGTGCTTCTGAGGAAGCCTGCAGGGCAGCGGTCTCGGCTGTTTCTCCCCCGAGGCCGGCGGTGTCCGGGCCTCATTATCTGTGTGGCGCTGCCTCGTCCCCCGGCACCCGCGCCGGGGAGCCCGCCTCCCACGGGCCACGGAGACGCGCGGCGCAGACAAGAGACGCGGTCCGAGGAGCGATGACCGCAAGCCGAGCCAGCGCGGGAGGCCGCGGGAGGCCGCGGGAGGCTGCGGGAGGCGCGGCAGACTGCGGGAGGCGCGGGAGGCTGCGGGAGGCTGTGAGAGGCTGCGGGAGGTGCGGGAGGCTGCGGGAGGCGCGAGAGGCTGTGAGAGGCTGCGGGAGGCTGCGGGAGGCTGTGAGAGGCTGCGGGAGGCGCGGGAGGCCGCGGGAGGCCGCGGGAGGCGCGGGTGGCTGTGGGAGGCTGCGGGAGGCGCGGGAGGCTGAGGGGCGTGGGAGTCCCCGGCTCGTCGCGTGCAAAAGATAATACAAAGGAGCTTCGATAAAGGAGCGTCAGGGCTGTAAACACAGAGATGATGATGGAAAAAAAACAACACGAACTATTTCCGTGAACACGATAGGTGTCATGATAAGATAAGACACGACATACCTGACACTGCGTAGAGTACCCGAACAGTGTGCGTGTTACCTAAGCGACCGCTCGGATGGACCAGGAGGCGCGCACTTATTATGCTCGTCGTCTCCGAGCACTAATCCGATTGTTCCTGCCGACATTATCGGCCGGCCGCCCGCTGGCATCAGCGGCGCTCTCCGAGCAGCGGGGACGGACGCTGCCAGCGCGCGGAGAAGGCGTGCTGCTGGCAGCAAATGTGGTCTTTGACCACACAGAGGGACCACGCTCAACAGTCTGTGTCATTTGAAAGCGTCTGACCATTGCACAAACTCTCTGTCAGACTCTCAATGCCAGTCGTTATCACCTTTTGGTGTTCACGACTGTTGCAAATGCTGATGACAGCCAGCGTTGACCATCCGATTCAGACGTTTTTGTTTCGAAGGGGATACAGCGGGCGATTCAACGCCCTTCCTGACGCAAAATTTCACGAGTGCCTGATACTCCTTCTCGTGCACATGATCTTTATACGTACGACACGGGTTCAATATTCCACCTTTCGCTCTCGTTACGGGGGGGGAGGGGGGGAGGACGACTCTGACGTGCAGGACGGACGGCACCTGCAGGCGCCGACCAACCCAAACGGAAGCTCCGGTCCTCACGCGTCGGCCGTCGGACTCGGAGGACAGAGCCTCAGAGCCAGAGCACTCACCATCGCAGACAGGGCAGCAGCGGCCGGGCACGGAGCGGTGGTGACTGCAGCTGATGTGGCACATCTCCACGTGACAGCGGGCCATGCGTCCCACGCACGAGCACGTGGTGCAGTCGTCCTCCAGCCACTGCTCGCTGCTGTTGTGACGCACCCCTGACTGCGATACGCAGCCATCTGGCGGCGGCGGTCCGACAGTCAGCGTTGGTGCGGGTCATTAGGAGGTCATCAGCACGTCCAGCGTCACCGACATTGCGCAGGTCCGGATCCCGAGGAGGGGGGTGGAGGGCTCGGCCACCGCCACACACGAAAATCAGCATCACTGCACAAAGTGCAGGTAAAGAGGGCGTCAAAGGCGACCTATGCACGCCAGAGATGCCCTGCACGTGACTAAAAAGACGCCTCGAAATATCCCAAGAGAGCTCCTGCAGATAAAATTCGCGGCTTTGATTTTTTTGTTTGCACACCTATCTGGACCGTGACCAGTTTGGTGCCCAGATTACCAGGTAAAAATAGCGCCCCGCCGCTTTTTCACCGTTCACCGTTCACCGTGTCACCGTTCACCGTTTGCTAGAATCGTTCAGAAGTACACAAATGGCGTCAACCTCAGCCACATTCTTGGGCACATCTCATCGTACAATCCAGCAAACTTGACAGCGCAGACCATGGATGATGAGACATGTTGTAAAACATGCACCACAGCAGACAAGCATTTCAGGGTGGATACCACTAAAAACATGACAGAACAAGCCAATTCAGACTCCGGCTCCGGCCATGCATGATGTATTGTGATGTAATTTTTCCCGAAGATGTCGGCAGGATTGCCTAGGCGTTCAGCGACAGAAGGCAGCGCTTTCGCAGAAGACACACAACATGACACAACACACTCCTACTCGTTTCTCTACCAAAAAAAAAACGCATGTATACGACACCCAGCAACCATTCAAACAAACCCTGGCAGCCATTCCTCCATCGTTTAGCAGTGATTCCACCAGCTGTCTGCCGGGTTGAGACGCCTGCAGGTTCTCCTCGCCCACTATTCACATCGTGGGCTCGCCATATTCAGACTATGGTGGCATCGACCCCCGCAGTGGAATGTGGACGTGCTGCCCGATACAACCATGCCCAGGAGCACTGACTTCCACGGAATGACTTCCACGGAATCGCAGAACACACACAGACACACAGACACACAGACATACGGACACACACACACACACACACACACACACACACACACACACACACACAACACACACACACACACACACACACACACACACACACACACACACACACACACACCGCACGAGCCGGCCCGGCCTGGCACGCATACATGCAGCCGTCACGTATGTTGTAACAGGGAGAGAGCCGCAGAGGCGGCATTGCTACGGTCGCGTACTGCCGAGCTGGCGTGACGAGGAATGACACTGGTTTATTAGTCTGCACGATGCAAGCGTAGCTGTTTAAAATGCAAAATGTTTATGTTCATCGGCTATGGACGCGGCAGTGAACTTCTGCAGTCGACTACGCCGGCTTTCAGATGGTTATGAATTAACCGCTGAATAACAACATGCACTTTTAGCCATCGCGACAATATAGCAAGCAACGTAATGATGGGTATAAACTTCACGCCGTGTCAGACAACACTCTTCGCGTGAAATAATCCCCAACTGTTAGCGTTGCTGTTGCAACACCAACACACTGTTGGCACACCGGTATTGGGCCACCCTGACCTGCCGTCTAGTCACTGCTTAGTTTTCAACCACCATCCAGTCATTAATTGTTGAGCGACGGGCCGTCGGCATCCACATCACGGGTGCGACACTTCACCCCTGCACGCCAGACACCCCTATACGTCCGACACTAACCCCTCCACGCCCTACACTAATCTCTGTGCGCCCGATACCAACCCATGTACGTCAGGCACTCATGCCTGCATGCCCGACACTCCCCTGCACACCCGACACTAACCCCTACACGTCCGACACTCCCCTTGCACACCCGAAACTCACCAGTGCATGCGCGACACTCACCAGTGCATGCGCGGCACTCACCAATGCACTGCGGGCAGCACTGGCGGACGTCCTGCGTGACCTTGTCGCAGTCGGCCGGCGCCGGGCACTCGAACGGGTGGCAGAACGCCAGGCCGTCCTTGCACTGGCAGCTTTTGCAGCGGGCGGGCTGCCAGCGCTCGCCTGGCCCGTACTCGCGCCCGTCGTGGCTGCAGCTCAGGTTGGTCTGAGGAGCTGCTGGACACACAGCAACGCACGTGACGTCACCGGACCCACAGGCGCACGCGTGACGTCACTGATACCGTGCCGGTCATCAGACACCGTCGGGTTTAGCGGGACAGAGGTGAACGCGGCAGGGGCGTAATAGCCGAGAAGTTAGCGCCTTTGGCTCTGACGTGAGAGGCCAGGGTTAACTCCGGTTGCCCCATGGCCTCTGGGCGTCGAGAAGGCCTCTGCAGCCGCTGACGCTCCATAAAAGGGGGTGCCCACGACGTGCGTCGCAGTCCTCCCTATCTACAAACACCGCTGACGCTCCATAAAAGGGGTGCCCACGACGTGCGTCGCGGTCCTCTTTATTTACAAACAGTTGATATGGGCAGTATGGATTCTTGGTGCAGAGTGAACTGGAACGAGAAAGGCCAGAGTGGCTCAGGCAGAAGCAGAAGGTACACATCTGGCAGAAAAATAAACAACATCCAAACGTTCCGTCCCATGTGGAATGCCATTAGTCTCGAGCACAAATATGTATATTGGACGTGTCCTCCGCACATAGCGAAACCCATCGGCATGCATTCCCTCTCCCCTTTCTGAGAAAGAGTTATCGGTCTTTCCCCATGGCGCCTAAGAAAATGTGCTGAAAGGCAGAATCTAGTACCAGGTTAAGGCACGTTCTACTACTATCTCAGCATTAAGTCCTCGGTCAATCGACAGACGTGTTCCTCCCTCAGGTCTCACGCCTGTTATCTAGCCTGCAACACGAACGCCACCACGTGCTAGAGGATCTCAAAGCCTCGCCTTGCATGTGGGTGACGACGAGAGCCGCATAGCGACTTGTTTTGACGGCCACAGCGAGTGACTTAAAGTTACGTCATCTCTAGTAACGCGATTCATTTATAGTCGATGCGAGCGCCTCCACGCCGCGGAGAAGAGCGCAGATGGGGTGCTAAGGGGCAGCGATGTGCTGGGACCGGGCGCTGCTGGCGTGCGACGACGAAGGCAGAGTGCCGTGCAAGGCCACCATCGCCCACGTATGCGGAGACAAAGCGAAAAATTACACACAAACCACGGAAAAGCCAGGAAGTCGCTCACAACCAAGCATCACCATGACGAGGGGATACAAACAAAGCAGAACGCAGAGGGCAAGCAGAGGCTAACACGTGCCGGAATTATTATTACCGTAATCTTTCAAAGTGCTTCCTTGATCTTCCTTCATCTGGCTGCGGCACAGGAACAAGCCAGCTCACGCAGTGTATGCATGCGTTCAAGACCCGCATAAAACTCTGTTCAGATTTGCAACAAGTTTTATAGTTCAAGCGCATCATGCAAACAAAGCCAAACACAGAGCAAAACACGGAAAACGAGCGCGTAAGAGTTGCCGTAAGCTGCCAGCACACAACTTCCCGACTCCAGCACGGGCACCAGGCGTGCGGGGGCTCAGGACTGCCGAACACCGGCGCTCACACCTGTTGGCTTGCACTCCCACTGGCTGCAGCAGAGGCCCGGCCGCAGCTGACCCTTGGTGACCTGCGTGGCCTCCTGGCCCTCGGGGCAGCTGGGCGCGACCGCGCACGACTCGAGGTCGCAGAGGCACGTGCCCACCGGCGGGCAGCAGTCGGGGTTCTCAGCCGGCGCGGTCTTCAGGACGGAGTCAGCGGGGCACGTGCTCACGCCGGGCTCACACACCACCCCGGGGCAGTTGGGCACCTCGGCTGCGGGCACAAGAGAGAGCGTGTGAAACAGTGAGGTCCCACCCTACGCCCGCAGAGCTGCGCACCTCAGCCGGCCGCACCAGGGATGGGTGTGGGACGCGCGCACCTCAGCTGCCCGCAGCAGGGGTGGGTGTGGGACGCGCGCACCTCAGCTGCCCGCACCAGGGGTGGGTGTGGGACGCGCGCACCTCAGCTGCCCGCACCAGGGGTGGGTGTGGGACGCGCGCACCTCAGCTGCCCGCAGCAGGGATGGGTGTGGGACGCGCGCACCTCAGCTGCCCGCGGCAGGGGTGGGTGTGGGACGCGCGCACCTCAGCTGCCCGCAGCAGGGGTGGGTGTGGGACACGCACAAGTCCCAGCACATTCAAACAGGTACATTTTGTAGAAACAAAAGACAAGACAACGAAGACAACAAAGTACTGCCTGCGACGGCACAGCTGGAAACTAAGTCCGTGTCGACACGCATGTAAGTTCTGTAGAGCCACACCCGCTCACTTACTAAGGCTGAAAAACACACAGGTAAAGGTCCAAAAATAATGCTTCGAATCTCTTTTAAAAGTCCTGAATCAAAGATTTCACGGAAATTTGTATGTGCTTACAGGGCATTGAAACAGTATGCACCGAGATACTACCATCTCATACAAATTTATAAACACGTATTTTAATTCGTGACATCAATGCAAGGCAGGGTATTCTCATGTCGTTCTGTCCAAGCGTCCCACAATTCACTCATCTCCGCGCCTTGTAAGCGACTCATGGTTCACGGCAGGGAGACTACGAAGGAGAGAGAGGATTGTAGCCGCCACCCCACGGACCGTGACCCGCGGCTAATCCCGTCAGCACATCTCCGCCGCGCGCCGCTGCCCGCCGCTCCGGTGGCACCCCCAGTGTCCGGCGCCAGGTGAGAGGGGTTTTTGTGACGACGCCCGAGCCGGTCCCGCAGCGTGACACAACACGGCCGCGCGTGGCGTCACGGCACGGTCACGAGAGCCGACAGCGCTGACCCGGCCACCAACCGAGCCTGCCCGTCTGCCTGCCTGCCCGCCTGCCCGCCTGTCCGCCTGTCCGCCTGCCCGCCTGTCCGCCTGTCCGCCTGTCCGCCTGTCCGCGGACACGGCGAACACGCGACGGGACCGACGAGATGGGCTGCTGCCGCCGCGAGAGCCGCCTGGGACCGACCGCGGTGGCGGCAGGCCAATCTAGAGAACGCGGCGCAGCAGAATGTGACGGACACACCACCTATCGCGATGGCGTATGAAAAACCGCAGAATTGGCGGAGGCTGCTCGTTTGCTGCAATGCAATGCACTACAATGCTTGCTTATCGAAGATACGCTATAGAAAAAACAGAAGTGCACGGTCGCGAAAAGGTGGCGTTTCATAGCGCTCAAACATCAGATATAAAGTTTATTAACAGTTGGAAAAGTCAAGACTTGGATGCCCGCCCACCAAAATCGGACGAGATGTTCAGCACGGCAGATGCATGGACGGTTCCAATTCCCGTGGTGCTCGCCCTTGCTGCCAGTGTGAGAGGTAGGCAAAAGCATATAGCCTCAGCAGCTGAGTACGTTATAAGGCGCCAACGACGAGTCCATCCTAGCAGCATACGTGTCTGAGTCAGATTATTTTCAGGGCCTGTAAATCGGAGTCCGACTCCAAAACTTGGCACAAGTTCTCATCCAAGTCATTGGAGAATGAGTCAGAGTTTGAGTCCCAAAGTCTTGAGCCTCGCCCTCTTAGTATCTAACGGGATTGTGACCGTATACTGACAGCCTTGATAAAATTATAGTCGCAAATGCTAAATCCAAAGAAAGCTTTTCATAATCTAAATAAAGGCAGCCTAAGATAACCCGGCCGGAAGAAACCAAAACAATCTGAAACGAGCCTGTTCACTCCATCCAACACGCCTCACTTCGCACGGAGATACCCGCACATACGTTTTATCGCTCTCGCTGCATTGCACGTCCGTAAAAACCGTTACGTTAGGTTACGTAAAAAGACACATGTTCATACTCGAGTTGGGATCAAGCCTGACTCAGACCACAACAGGAACCATACATGCCAGCAGTGTTAACTTCAGTTTCAGTTAATCGGTGTTTTTCTCCCGTACCTTATCCCAGCCTCTGTCCCCCTCTGCTGCTTTACATCTAACTCCTCTTACGCTTTTCTGAGTGCTCGTTAACATAAGAAACAGTGCCTTATCGCGGACGCTGAGGTCAGCCGCGTTATTTCTCTACAGAACCAAGAAATCGAACGGGTTTAATCTCAGATGGTATGTGAGGACGCCCCGCCTTTGAATCCGTAGACCGTTAATCATGCGTATTGAGGTGATGTTTAAATCCACGTATTAAATTGCATGCATTCCGCACCCACCTCATCGCCTTTTTCGGTGATGAACATGCCATATCAAAAACTAAGGTCAGAATAATAAAAGGAAAAATAAACTGTTTTAACTTAAACAATCATCTTGATTAGAGACGCCATTAAGGAATATGAGCAGTCATTTTGGTTTCGCATAGTTATGATAATACATATCGACATTCTACACCAAATATTGAACACGGTAGTGCTTTAATTCGTTCAAGAAAGCATAATCGATACCACAAGTGCGCCAACATGTAATTTCCAGCTCATAATGCATACGAACGTCCCAATAAACACGGAACGCATAAAGACGAACGAGAAAAGAGATCTGTTGGCCATAAGATGCCACGAATCGACACCAGCCTGCTTCAAAACATGCAGTGATTAACATAGCGGGCGAGTGAGCCCCGGGCTAGAGCGTCAGCGAGAAATTTATTCCTGCATCGGGGCCAAAGCCTCGGCTCTTCATCCCAAACGCCATGGGGAGGCTGCTGCCTGCGTTCAGTCTACGCAAGCTTTGAGCTGGCTGTTAAAAACTTTGCTGGTGCGTCTGATGAGACTTTCTTCAGTTGTCCCAGAACTTGGTCTCTGAGGGCGCTTCGGTATCGTCGGTATGAAAAATATCCGAGTTAGCTTTGCATCCATACAAGCCTTTTGATAAGTCCGGTGGCGAACAGCCAGCTGCGCCGATACTTTTACGTCACATTTCGAAGTCCAATGCCGATCAACGCCCATCTGGCACATCGGTTTCGAGGCTGGGTGCGGCTGGGGATGGGACGTGCCTTCCTCGAAATCGGTTTGATTATCAAACATCTCCGGCTCGCCTAGGCGGCTGAGGCTCTCCAACCAGTGACGCACGTGGCGGCCACGAATATACCCGACAGACAACTGACGTCAGAAAGGTACACACTAGCGCCGCCTGAAATACACTTCGATCGAGTACGCATACCCGACTCAGCTCCGCTAAGCCGCGATAGCGCTCAAGAATTTAGGGTGTGAGCGCCATTCATTGCTTGTAATATCTGTTGCATTGAAGTGCTCATGCCTGTTCGCGTTTGTGTTGTTTTCACGCTTTCGCTCATTCCACTGTATTTAAAATTGCATTGGTTACAGCTGGATTCTCAGGCGAGTTCACATAAAGACAAAAGGTGAGCGGAACGTACAAATTGAGCAAAACGTACAGGATTTTGCTGGTCTGAGCGGTATTTGGAAATATTTTGGCGATTGCTGCTAATCTTAAATGTCAAAATATTTAAACCCAAGACGAGCATAAGGGAGTAAGACGTTTCTCCGAAAGGAAAAAAAGTTTCATCCGCAATTGAATGAAACGTAACATTCTGAGATCCGAGATACCAAAAAACTAACTCCGTAGAACAAAGCATGCGGAACGGTCCACACATGTTTAAATATAGCCTTTGAAAGCCTGTAGTACGTTAGACGGACGTGGGTTCCAGCAATCGTGCACATGGTTTAGTCTGTCATCGTTTGCCGCATCCATGCTCCGCAGTTGAATCAGCACAGCAACAGGCCAGCATGCACCAAAGGGCGGCTTTGATCCTCCGGCGCCGCGCCCCAGTCAAACAGCGAGCACTCTACCAATAAACGCGCCGACAGGAACACACAGGCGCGGCCCAGGATGATACGCCGAAGTCCCAGCGCCAACAGTTCACTGTATGTCGGAGGCTGGCCAGTGACAGTCTATCAGCTGTTCACTGCCCCGTAAACAACTGGCAGTGAGATACATGCACGGCACCTCACCAGCTCGTGGCCGGCGGTCCAGCCCCCTTCCTGGCACTGGGACGTGCCAGGATACCCCGCCGATTCGCAGGGCAGTCGATCTGGTGGTGCCTCGCCAGGCGCCACAGCTCCACTGCCCTGAGCCGGAGCGCTGAAGTGCCGCTCCAGGACGGCGTTAACCGCTGGACAAAATGGTGCTTACCCGCCGCACGGATCGGCGCTTAACGTTCGCTCTCGGAACGGTACTCAACCATCGCTGGAGGCGTCAGTAATCACTGCAGTGCCGGATTGTTACGCTTGTGACGACTTCGCCAGCCGGTGAGATGATCTGGACGTGGACACTCAGAAGGCGTTCGCAACTTAGGCAGGAGAGACAGGAGACCGGGTCGTATTGGGCTCTTCCCTCGAGATGTGGAGGCTTTATGGACGAGGTGGTGATTTTATGGGATACTTATCGGATACACTTAAGACACTATTTCCATATGGGTCGCTCATGGCCTATTCTGACTCTGAGTTACGTGCAGTGCTAGGACATCGCCTTTTTTGGGCGCTACACACATTTAAAAAACCGACGTCTGGGAATGACAAACAGGAATTCTCATCGTAGACGAAGTCTCCTTTCATTTCCAGCCATCCACTTCCAAGATTGCTCTGCAACTGAACTGACATCCATCGCAAATATTTGCGAAAAACTGGCCATGCGGATTGAGATGGAAATAGCGCCCGCCAGTCAAATGATAAATAAAAAGTGTTCCCTGCATTTCCTTTCGTACACATCCGGAGACAAATACAAAACAGAGTATACAGTCGGATTACGCTGTGACCAAGGATACAAACTTTCATACTTCGGCAGTATGAGTTGAAAGTTCTTGTGCTGAGTTAATGACCTTCAATAAAAAAG